AATGCAATACATATCAAAAACCCTTTAAAAAAATAAAAATGACATAAAAATATATAAATACAAGCATATGCAATCCCATATTCATGATCCCAGGCCTTTACATGAGTTTTAAAGTTTCTCGAGACTCCTCCTAAAGTAGCCATTATGACTCTATAGGCTTTAATATGGGTAATTTAGTCCTTTGATTCGAGGATAAGTACCATTTCATTAAATGCACATCTTTTCAAAGGTGGTGGTAGCTGAGATCCATTAATGTGATTAGTAGTGTTGCAGTCGAGGCACGTGGGCTCATCATTCTTTTGTTCGTCAAGGCATTTAGTATCCTTAGCGATACCAAACTCGAGCCAGGCCTTGTGACATGAGTGTGCCACGTGGTCTTGTGTTCTATCGGATGGCGTGAAAGAACCAAATTTTTTCAGCCCTGTCAAATTTGGTATATCAAGACAACAACAGATGACGAATTTGAGCATCAACCATTGCTAAATTCTCGAGAAATTGCAGATAGACTCTGTCCGCATAAACTTGCTGTTCAAAGCCTCATAAACCTTAAAGATACAGCAAACACCATAAGAAGTTCTATTCAAGCACCTTTCATGGTAAGCGATGGTAGAAGATTGTTTGTCACACAGCTATCCATCTATTATAATGACTATTCAGTTAAACAACTAGCTGAAGCAAGACAGTTCTTGGATGATATCCGAGAATTCAAAATCAGTATCCCTGAATAAAAATCCTTATGGGGCTGAAGAAAGAGAATTTGATTGGCTACATCAAGATAATCAAAGTCCACGCAGCACTCCTCCATTATATGAATATGAACTCCATAACCTCATTAATGCCATGGAAGATTGATACTACAGTAAACATTTCTCGATCGACTGCCAACATGTTCAGCACACGAAAAGAAAGTTATTGTAATAGTGAAAACAGATTCGTTTACTGTTCATCAACAATTAAAAAAAAAAGAAGACAGAAATCAGCTTTAATGTATGGTAAAAAATAGATTTTTTCACTGTTCATCAAATAGTGAAATTTACTTTTTATTTTATATAAGTAAGAGTATGTGTAAAGAAGAAAGACATCTTCTGCAGCTCTAATTTTCTTGAGTTCTCTCCTCTCCCCTGTAAATTTCTCTATTTTCCGCTTTCTTTGTAATTAGAGTTAGCCGAGGCTAAGAAAGTCCTCAAATTGCTTTTTGTATTTCGGTCTCTCTAACACAGGCACACACACATGTATTTGTGTATATATATATATAAACAATTAAGTAAATTTCCTTCTCTCTTTCTTTAATCTGTCAGTTTGTCATAATCTGAGTTTTTTTTTTTAATCTGAGTTCATATTTGCATTCTTATTTGTTGATATAATCTAATCATCTACTCATCTATCAACAATCAGAATAATTTTTATTGGTGTGCCTGTCATTGCGTCTGCTTTCATTTGATTTGGAATCACATCAGCCACTTATGGAGGAAGCTAATGGTAATGTCCCTTTCTCTCCTCTTTTTAGTTTCTTTTAACATTTTGTCAACGAATCAGATGTTTTTTTTTTTTAGTTTCTAATGGTAATGTTCTTCTTTTTTTCAATTGGGTTGTTTGAACTAGGAAAAAAAAAAATTGGTTGTTTATGATATATATAGAGAGAGATAGAGAAATGTATATCTGTTGCACTTTGCTGTGACGGAGCCAGAAAATTATATGTGAGGGCCTGAGGGGGTGTTTCTTGAAACAGCTATAAGATTAAAAAAATCAATTGATCTAAATTCCCCTGAATAACAAAAAATAAGACAAATTATTGGGTTTTAAATGTAACTTGATTGCAAAATTGAACCATAATAACTTAATAAGTAAATAAATTGATTTCGTTATTATTAAATCTATCATATGTACACACACAGAAATATAGATACCTGAGAAACAAAAGTGGAAGGGGAAGATGGTGAAAATTAGAGTTCTTGGTAGAATTGATTCATCTTCACGAGTTTGTGTTTTTGAGAGAGGGAGGATGGATGGGTTGGCAGAGGGCGAGAAAACAATAGAGACTCATAAAACGTTTATTTTATTTTTTTATTTTTATTTTTTGATTGGGCAAAAATTGAGTATTGTAAAAAAAAAAAAAATTTGGGATGGGCTCAAGCCCACCCAACCCACCCCCTAGATACGACACCCTCCGCCCCAGTTAAAATTGAGTATTGTTAAAAAAAAAAAAAAAAAAAAAAAAAAAAAATTGGAATGGGCTCAAGCCCACCCAGCCCACCCCCTAGATACGACGCCCTCCGCCCCAGTGAAAATTTTGGGATGGGCTAAAATTGAGTATTGTAAAAAAAATATATATATATATTTGGGATGGGCTCAAGCCCACCCAGCCCACTCCCTAGATACGACGCCCTCCGCCCCAGTTAGATCCATGCATGTCCGTTTGTGAGTTTTCTTGGCATTGCTGTCCTTTTTCTTCTCCAAAATGATGTCCCCTCTTTGCTGTTTGTTGATTTGTTGTCCTAGTATGTGGCTGTGGTATTGTCAGAATTTTAACATTTTCTCCATTTTTTTCTGAGCAAAATATTATGAAACAGTTATATATAGAATGTGACTTTTTTGAATCCAAAAACTTTGGGTATATTGCGTTTTCTACAAACTGAGAACACCTTCTTCTGTAGTTAAGATGCAAAAACACAGTTCGAATTATTCTCATCTTTAAAGGTAACTGCCTAGTGTTTGTCAGTCTAGAGAGGGCTTAAATGGGGATTAGCCTTTTCTTTTCTTTTTTTTTTGAGACTTGAACCTGACCTCCCTTTGGGAGGTAAAAGGCCGATAACGCTAAGCCACTAGTGTAAGAAAAATAGTAGTCTACCAATAATCAAATAAATATATTATTTATATATTTATATAAGAAAGGTTGCACCCTTAGAATGAATAGTTACGTATTAAGAGTTGTGTCGGTTGATGGAACCAACACATCTCTTCACGTATAAATGAAATGGTCCCAATCCTCACTATATATATGCGTAATAGTCTTGGAGTCCATCATCCAGTTTTGCATACATAGGAGAGGGTTGAAGATCGTTTCCGCTCTGGTGTTCTCTTCAAACATAGTTTCTATATCGAGTATGTCTCTTCTATCAATTTATGCATTAAACCATGAATTCTATTTGTGTAGAAATTTGCTTACATGTGGTATCAGAGCCAACATGGACTCTAGTGCATAAATTCTGAATATTTTACATATAATATATTCCTATGTGATTGTGTTTAGAAACTTCTAATAGAAAAGAACATTGGTTGAAGTGGGAAATACAAATTTCATATACACGTACAGTTCTAGATCTACTTTGGATAAATGTAAATAGCACACACTTATATATGATCGGTAATAGATGGAACAAAGAGCAATAATCTGAACATTATAATGTTTAAGTTTACATTGTGTCATCATGGGCAAAGACTTTGTTCTATTTTGTTTTAATACATCTATATTATTTGTGTTACTACATATACACCTCTTTTTTTTTTTTTTTTTTTTTTGGAGAAGGACACTAATACTTGTTAAGTACGACATATATATGATAATATATGTCATATAGATAAGAGAAGTATCAGTTTTGAACTCAAGTTTATATTAAAATGAAATACATATTGAGTGTACTCCAAAAGTCACGACTTTTGAGAATTTTGATTAAAACTCAATTGCCATGAGATATATATATAGACTGAACATTTGTAATCCAAACTGAATTTTGGGCCCTATCAGAGTATAACAGTTGTTTTAAGAATGTGTTGACAACAATGTAACGTGAATGTCATTTTGAGTATTCATGTCTCTACAAGAATATAACAGTTATTTTAAGAATGTGTTGACAACCATTTAACGTGAATGTCATTTTGGTATTTATGCCTCTATAAAAGTGTCATCACAATTGTTTTAATGTGAATATTTTCTCAGCACGGTTAACATGTTGATGGGCAACAACGTTCCATGCACGGTTAACATGATATGGTTGTAAACGTTTATTTGTCTACAATACCAACCCTATACTTAATGTTGTAATGGTTATTTTGCTCTTTGGATATCATACAATCTCTAATATTCATGTACCGTGTCAACAATATCCGTTTTCTCAAAAGTCATAATTTTTGGAGTTCAAATTACTATTCATGTCTTTTGGATTTGAACTAGCAAATATGTCTTTTTATGTAGGCTTTGTGGTCTATACACCAAGAGTTATATGCGTGGTATTCTAGAGTTGTTTTATTATAAACTCAATTGTCTTGCTATAAACTCAATTGGAGTGTGCATGACACAACAACATGCAGTTAATAGGTTGATTGTGAAGGGTTATATGTTTCAACGTACCATTACATGTTTTAGTTTGGATACTAACGTTGATTCGTTATATATATACATGTCTTTTGAGTTGCAATCAATAGTCATGTCTTTTGGGATTAAACCAACATGCGTGTCTTTTGAATTTAAACCAATAGTCATATCTCTCCACCCAGAGTCATGTGTTACATGCACCCTTACTTACTCTATTAATGAGGGTTGCTAATTTAATATTTTAATTGGTGAAATTTTTATTGTATAACATGTATAAATTTTGAAAATTTTTGGATCTTATTTTATTCTTTAAATATTATTTTTCATATTTAGTATGCCATTTTTATGTAATTATCATCACAGATAAATATTTTATATACTTGATGATATACATGGTATAGTTAATGATTAATTTAAGGTCCTATATTTGTGTATATAAATTTTGAAATTATACTTGTTATTAAAATCATATATATAATTATGCAAGTATCTCATATGTACATGCTATTTTGATTCATTCGGGAAAATTGAATTATATTTTGCAATCCTAAGCACAATTAAGTTTGATAGAGTGTTTAGTCACCAAAGTGGCGCACTCATGAAAATTTTAATGATATTTGTAGCTAGTGGCAAAATTATTATTTTGTTAAAGTTAAAGGATTGTGTTGACGTTTAGTAAAGACGGGCAATGATCAAGCCCAAAGGTGGGTTATTGAATTTGTCCAACTAAGCGGATTGAGATAATTAATGTAGAAGACACAACTGATGACTCACTACGCCCAAAGGAGTACAAGTTGTTATTGTGTTTTCTATGATTAATTAGCTTCAAAGGTGAAAGTTATTTCACCAGTGGGAGACTAATATATGATAATTTTGGCCCAAAGGAAAGATTATTATATGTTATGATGATCCCATTCAGAGTTAATTGTTTTGAGGTATTATTTAATTAACTCTGGAAAGTTTAGTTGATATTCCCATCAATTATACTGTAAATGTGCGGCTTTAGTTATTCTCAAAGTCAGTGGGAGTAAAATTCATCTTTAGTGTTAAATGTGGATGACAGTGACATTATTGTATACGAGATTAAACAATTTAACTTCTTAAACATTTGATATGAAGGTGTTGGTGAAGCCTTTTTATTGGCATTAAGTTTCACCTAAATAAATCTCGTGAAATTTTGGATTGTCACAATTAAAAAACCTACTTTGATAGAATTCTGAAAGTATTTTACATATAACACTATAGAGGTAGAATTGTACCCATTGTAAAAGTTGAGAAATTTGGTAATCTAATTACTAAGAAAATACCTATAGTTGTATTAGGTAAAAAACATTTTCTACGCCTTTGGGAACCTAATGTATGCTCAAGTTTTGCATATGGTTAACTATAATATAGCATTTGCTAGTGAAGCAGATATCACAGTGATCCTGGTTTGGATCTATAGTATGCGACAAACAAATTTATAAGGTATTTGCAAATAGTTAAGAACCATATCTTTATACGAGTGGTGAAAACTGACTTTGCTGGTTGTCAGGACAGTACACAAATCCATTTCAAGTATTGTTTTACTATTATGATAAGTGATAGAAGCGGAGTTTATTTGTATGTTATAAGGCCACATTTCATGCTTTATAAAATATCAGTTTTGGACTTCAAGTTAATAATTCCGCTATAGTTTTGTCTTAAAGAAACAACAAGAGTTCAAGTTGGTCAAAAAATATGACCGTTAATACCTTGTTGTAAAATACAGAATACAGAATCAGGTACTGTCTGATTGAGCACATTGATACCCAACAAAAGATTGTTGATCCCATAACTAAGGGTTTGCCGCTAATGTTGTATAGTAAACATGCAAATTTTTCTTTAACAATATTAATTTACTTAGTTAGTGAGAGGTTGTTTTTGGCTCAGGTAGAGATAATTTTATTTTGTGATCACAGTTATTATCCTCATTTACTAGATTTTTCATATTAGTGCACATGTGTATGGAAAATTTGTGACTTAAGTGTCCAGTTTTGAGACACGGTGTGTCCTTATTGAGACACGGTAGGACCGATGCATGGCATGAATATTGTATTAAATAGATGTACATGCAATATATATGTGACGTTGGAGTTGAGTTTGTTAGTATCAGTGACCGTTGGAGTCTTATATCATTGATGAAATAATGACACCCTTGATCCCATATTAGTAGACACGAAGGGACTCCAAAATTGAATTATAGAGGTGCTGTTTGTAAATATATGGATTAATTTATGGAGTGAACTCATGATCATTTTGATCTTGAAGTGATTAGAATTAATTATTGTTAGACTAAGTGGGAGAATGTAAGAAAAATAGTAGTCTACCAATAATTAAATAAATATATTATTTATATATTCATATAAGAGAGGTTGCACCCTTAGAATGAATAGTTATGTATTAAGAGTTGTGTCGGTTGATGGAACCAACACATCTCTTCACATATGAATGAAACAGTTCCAACCCTCACTATATATATGCGTAATAGTCTTGGAGTTCATCATCCAGTTTTGCATACATAGGAGAAGGTTGAAGATCGTTTCCGCTCTGGTATTCTCTTCAAACATAGTTTATATATCGAGTATGTCTCTTCTATCAATTTATGCATTAGACCATGAATTCTATTTGTGTAGAAATTTGCTTTCAACTAGCCCATTGGTAATGGAGACTAGCCTTACCTTTGGCATTTTTTTTTTTTTGCACAAAGTCGCTGCCATCATGTTTGCATACCAATTATCTCTTAAGATCAAAATCCTTAATTGTCATTACAACAAGAAACTCGGGTTCTGTTTTAACCAAATATTCAAATGCTTCATCACCATACAATGTTGAATTTTTGGAAACATATTTGCTAAATGACTTATTTCTTGTCCTCTGCCTGTAATACTACCAGTGGTGGAAACCAAGGATGGAAATATTTCTGTGGCTACTGCATTTTCCGGGCAACAAGAAGGTAAAGGGTTTGTGTGAATTAGCCTTTCAGATGTTAAGTTTTATGTTTTGTTTGCAAGAATGATATCTTCAGACATTATAAATTGGAGCAATAAAATTATGTTTTACACATGCATAAATCATACCCCGATAAGCAGGTGGTTATTTTTTGAATGGCGAACTGGACAAATATCTTAAATTTTCCTTGATGATTTGGTTATGGCTACTGGAGCTAGTGTGAGGCTGTCGTTTTGGTTATCATTATTTATATATTATTTCGGGTTTGTGGTTGCTTGACCAGTTGTACAGGATAGAGACCACGAATTCTTAACAAAAGCGGTTGAAGAAGCCTATAATGGGGTTGAATGTGGACATGGAGGTCCTTTCGGTGCTGTAGTTGTCCGTAACGATGAAGTAATTGTGAGTTGTCACAACATGGTTTCGAAGAATACAGATCCAACTGCCCATGCAGAGGTGACAGCAATTAGAGAGGTCAGACAAAATAGGTCTTTTTATAGAGTATAAGTTTTTGGTGCCAAATGTCCATGGATTTTTACTAGGCATAGACACCCAACATTGTTGGAAGTAAAGGTTTTCTCATATTGAAGATGATTCGTGTCCATTAATATAATGTTACAGTCTAGCATTTGTGCTTGTTGAAGATGTAGGATTCTTACTGTGTCATGATTTATATTTTGACAGGCGACTAAAAAGCTGAATCAGATTGAGCTTTCAGACTGTGAAATATATGCCTCTTGTGAGCCTTGCCCTATGTGCTTCGGTGCCATCCACCTTTCTCGGATTAAGGTTGAGTTTCTTCATTCTTAATCCTGTCAGTTTATGATTGAACATGTTAAAGAGGTCAGACTTAAATTTTGTTGCATTATTATTGTCCATATTGAACAGAGGTTGGTTTATGGAGCAAAGGCCGAGGCAGCCATAGCGATTGGGTTCGATGATTTCATCGCAGATGCATTAAGGGGTACTGGCTTCTATCAAAAAGCAAATATGGAAATTAAAAGAGCAGATGGGAATGGGGCAATCATTGCTGCACAGGTGTTCGAGAACACGAAGGGAAAGTTCCAAATGTATTGATTTCTTCAGTTGCTTATGAAGAAAACCTCTATACTCATTTTACCAAAAACTAAACAAAACAAAGAAAACCAGAAAGGTGAAAAACTGTAGTTTTTTTTTTTTAAACCCCAGTAATTAAGAATAAAAACTGTTGCCTTGATACACTTTGTATTTACTCTGATGGGTTGGTGCTATCGCCATTGTTGATCATATTAGCTTCATTTTAATGCAGTTGTTCAGCAATGGCTTCTAATCTCACATTCTGTCTTGTTTATATACTTGCTAAAAAATGGTCAGTCTTGCACTATTAGTCTTATTTGATCAAATTAAATTGAATATACCTTCTCTATCCATCGATTTATTGTCTACTTATGAATACTTGGATTGTTAATTCCCTATAATTATCAACCGTCTCTTACAATAGTTATTGCTTAACTAAATATGGTTTTGGATAACCACACAGAAATATGTCCTCCCCAGCTTGAGAGGGTTTTATCCTATACTCAAACTCAATCAAGGATGAAGATTGGACCACCAGGTGGATTGTAAAAGACCCGCCCGTTAAGAGATTGGACCACCAGGTGGATCGTAAAAGACCCGCACACTTCTCAACTGACGGTGCATTTAAGCAAGGGCGGATACAGAAATTGTCAATGGAGTGAGCTAATATTTTTTTAGGTGAGCTAATACTAGTAATAATTTTTTTCTTTAGACTGCTAAAATTAGGTTTAGTAAAAAAAAATTTGGTGGGCTTGAGCACACCCAAGCCCCCCTTGGATCAGCCAGAATTCCAAGCTGTCTCCTGTAAGGCAATTAAGAAAAAGTACCAGGTTGGAGCCAGAGTTTGACAAAGCACATCTTGTAATTCAAGTCATGGTCTTCTCTTTTGCCTTGAGTTGAGGCATAATCATGTTTATATTGTCTTCTCATTCTCCGAATTCAAATGCGAGATAGAAGGATGGTAGGAACCACTCCTTTGTAATTCCTACCTCTCGCGCTATCTTACATTCAATCTCTTTGAATCAAATATATATCGGTCTAGTGCACGAGGTTCCGCACTCTCTCTTCAAAATAGAGAGCAAATATTCGATAGTGTTAGAACGACGAAAGCAATGAGAAAAATAATTTGGTGACGACGTTCAATACATCTGTGATAAATCAATTCAGCTATGACAGAGGCTAATTCGGTAGTCCTCCATGAACATCATTTAATCCTGCATTGACTCTCAAGGAAGGTTTGTTTCACACTGATTTATCAAAACCCGACATAGTGTCTCTTTGGGGCCAGGTCCAAGAAGTGACAATAATACAACTCTTCAATGCCATTTTCTTATGATGTAAACATCATTAATGGACCTTTAAATCTGACATTTTGAGAGTTTAAGACCATGTAATAATAGAATCAAGCAATGTAGTTTCATTACAAAAAATTAACCCACATACCTAAAAAAAATTCGCAATATATTTTATATTAAAGATATAATCAAGCAATTATTTTAAATTGAGAATTTAATACATATACCTAATTGTTGTATTATGAGTTTAAAATATATTATTGCATTCACGTTATAAAATTAATACAATTAGTATTGAATATTCCCTTCGTTTTCGCTCTCCCTCTCTCTCTCTCTCTCACTCTCTACATGTGACTTTGGAGTTTGGAGTGGCATCGCGGGCGCCGCTTTCATTTACCACAATAGCTTCCATCCCTCCCTCTCTCTCTCTCTCTCTCTCTCTCTCTCTCTGTCTTTTTCTCTCTTTTGTTAGGTTTTGACTATGGGTCTCTCAACCATTCATCCAACTCCAACATGGTCTGGTCCCGACCCCAATTGCTCTCGGAAAGCATGGTCAATCACAGTCTTTTTCCCGTAGAAAAACTCTAATTTTTTTTGGCATTTCTTGTAGTCCAATGTAAGATACATATACTTGCACACACACACATGTATATATATATATATAATTTTATTTAAATAACTATCTATAATTTGATTGTGACAAAACAAAAAAAATGTCACATCATAACCAACTATACTTTGTCTACTATTGTTACAAAAGTCCACGTAATAAATACTAATAATCATAACTTTTGCTAATAGTAAAATTGGCAAAGTGTAAAAAAAAACTCTTAATATATATTTTTGGTAAAATTTTTATTTCTTATTTGAAAAAAATGTGTAAATAATACCCTTAATCTTTTAACACTATGCAAAAATACTCTTTAAATAAAAATCTGACCTAAAATTATGTTATAATGCTCATTTTACCACTTTTACTCTTCCAAAAATATCCAAAAAAGTTGTGCATATTTTTTTGTCTTGATGGGCCCGTTTCAATCTGGGTCAGACCCAGATCAAAGTGGGCTCACCATATGGAGATGGGATCTATTTTGCAAACTAGAGGGCCCTCCCTCTCGCACATCAAGGTCCGGCGACCATAGTCGCCGGAAATTGACCCAACACTACTGGCCTCATTCTCGGGTCGACAAACACCTTCCTCCACGGCGTCGCATTACTTCTCACAACCATCTCCCCGCCGAGAAAATCTTCGGACGCAGTAGAAACGTCTCAATCCTTCTAACCAGATCGCCGCCGCCATTAAAAGACTTCCAACACAACTCAAGCCTGTTTATGACTCACTCATGGAACGATAACATCCCACCATCTATTAATCCTTCGTATGGTGAAATTCATTGGAGATAAGTCAAAATTCCGGCGCCGACAATTGATTGGATTGTCGGAGAAAAAATAAAGACTGTTTTCTCACCATCCATGAGTCTGATTACTTTGAACGATAAGAATTCAAAGGTAAGAATCAAAACAAACTCGATATCGAACCCAATACTCAACTCGCCAACGAACTGACCCAGATTGTCTCTGACCAATCCCGATTCGATTCCCACAGTGAGCACCTAGTTACAATGGCTTCAATCTAACATTTTTCCCACATCGTCGCCGATCAAGTCCAATACATTTTCGCAGGGAACAAAATCTTCCTCAAAGATCCATTTTTCACTCTACCAAACTCTTCAAATACCAGGTTGTGATAAGACAATCAAGCATTCCTCGCCCCATTCAGCATGTCCATATTCAAATCCTACCATCTTCAGCGCTGTAGTCCCATTCTTCACTATCTCATGGCTGTTGCCGGAGTATTCACTGGCCATCGTATTCTCTGGCCGTCATATTTGTAGTCATCAGAGCTTCCTTCAGTCACCGTCGGTTAGAGAAAGCAAGAAAAGGGAGAGAGAATGAGGCCCCAATTAAAAAAAAAAAAAAAAAAAAAAAAAAAAAAAAAAAAAACACTAAGGCTGCTATCACGTAGGCTAATGGAGAAATCCTCACTTTGCTATGGCTTTCATTTTTGTGTCTTTTTTTGTAATTTTACAAAATAATATATTTTAAAATAATTTATAAAATGTCCCATAAAGGGCAATTTAGGTAAATTCTAACTTAAATGTGCTAGGGGGACTTATTTACACCAAATTAATAATTTAAGGATGTTTTTTACACATGAGAAGTGCAATATGCACTGTAAATATAATATAAGGGTGTTTTTTGCACTTCACCCTATGTAAAATAGAGACACACATATATATGTATATATATATCCCATGCATGCATGTCACATGCATGCTTAACTAAGTATATGATAAAACATTCCCCATATTTTCATATAGCTCAAGTCAATAATGTGATGCTTTCATTTCCATACAGTTGTCCTATAGTAGGACTGTTAGGACATTGAAATGAATATGTAATTAAAGCGACAATTACCATTATTATCATCTTATGTATATTGTATAGTAATTGATTTGTAATCATTCTTTGACTTGCCATAATTTATTGGAGATTTGTGTAAATAAATAAATAAACACGTTATGGAAATTGGGTTGTGGGTAGGGTTGTCAAATTCAACCCCATGCATCTCACGGATGTATTTAAAAAAATTAACATCCCTACCCTAACCCTACAAATGTAGGGCTCACAATACTGCATCATATATACAGCTGCCAAAGAGTTGGTCTTTTGACTCGATTTTTCTTGTCACTTCAAAAATCATTTCTCTCAAAACGTAAAAGGAGTCTTTACGGCTTTACCTACCCCCACAAATATTTTAAAAATACTCCGTATATGTTTATTCTGATTAAATTATTGTTGATCTTGGAAAAAATTGCATAAAACTTTCTTCAATTTTTGGTATTATACCATAGAAAAAAAAAATTAGACCTAAAATCTCCTTGAACTATTCAATTGTTGGAACATGCCCCCATCACTATCGACGAACTATTACGTGTAGGATTTAAGGACTAAAATGCACGTTAGTTTCACATTTCTTAAGATGTTGAGTTTGACGCTTCTTAAGATATTATTGCGCAAATTACATAAAATTTCCTCCACTTTAAATTTTTTGCACAATACTTCTTACAAAAAAATTTGACTTAAATTTAGGTTTTTTTTTTTAAATGAATTTTGGTTCAGGTTTTTTTTGAAAAAAAAAAAAAAAAAAAAAATTAAGAAATTTAGTTGGAAAAGACTTGGATGTTGGTACCTCACAAAGTATCTGGTTTCATAATTGATTCCGTAATGACAAAAAAAGCCCTTAATATAAAATGAAGAAAATTTAGGTTTCTTTAAAATAATTTTCATTTTAGGTTTTCACTTCCTTTTTAATTTTTAGAAAATGGAAATCTAAGAAAATTTTGAAATTTTATTCCAAAGTATTATCATTTTCTTATAGACACATCTAATGGTTTTTTCATACAAATATAATCCATTTTAATTTTCTTTCTCGAAAATAATTTTTAACAACACTATGTCGAATGAGTTATTTTATTAATTTTAATCCTACCATTGAAAAATAATTCTAAAAAACGACATGATTTCATCCATGGGTATTAAAGTCCTTTGCAAATTTCCATGAATATATTTTTAGGAGAAAAAAAAAGTGCATAAAACCTATTTGCCCTTAAAGGGTGGGTTGGCCATTTCAACTTGCCGTTAGAATTGGAAAAAACCTCTTAATTAGAAGATGTCACAATGTCAAAATTGATGGCATCTAGGGTTTCTCAATTAGGGTTGACCATTCATTATTTATTCAACATAGTGGCGCCGAAGTCACAACGTAACCCAGATTTTACGTTGTAACCACCACTTCTTTGATTGTCATCCGTCGCAATGCGAAGTTGATATTTTTTTGATGTTTGTGTTTATGACA